GCAACTATTCCCGTATGGAGTATGCATCGCGCAGACTGGTCCATCGGAAACAAAATTACGCCTGAAAGGAATTTTCTCACTGTTTCCAATAGTTTAGAACGGAAAACCAGCTTGTAACCCTACAATTGGGCCTGTAATTGCGAAATCGGTGATCGAACGCGGGCCGGAGTATCCGTTTTCGCATAGTCCGCAGTTCCATCGCAGAGATGAGGAAAGTTACGATGTTATTTAATTAACCGTTTAGTCGCGTGAAAAATTTGAATGAAAATTCACACGGCGAACCCTTTCCGTTCGAATTCCTGTTTGCACCTGAAAGTTTCGTTTGGCGGGGTGGGGGCCGGGGTGGGGGAAGAGGTTGGAAGGGAGGGCGCGAAACATTTTGCCCTCGCGTATAGTTAATAAAGCAGCTACAGTCAGTGTAATAAGTATTCGTACAGGAACTATTTACTTTAAATGGGTCGCTGTACGAATACTTCTTACACTGACTGTATCTGTGTATTAGTAGGCATTTCTGCTCGCATTCTGCCGCGCGAGAAAAGTTTCAACCGAGTCTAAACTTGGCGTACTTGGTCCCAAGCTCAGACCTTTGTCCGCGCGCGCGCGCGCGCTATGATTTGAGCGGTGTCCTCGAGACAATGGAGTGTAATTCACATATCTCTCGCATTCATACCGTGTCACATACTCCGAGCTTTAGTGTTCGAAATTAACGTACCTAGTTTCCTGCTCAGAATTCCACTCGTACAACGTATGCCTATACCTTGGCGTCGCAGCGACGCGAACTTTGTCGTAGCGCGAACAATTTTGTTAAAATCATCCTTGAATGGCTACGCCGGTTGAGCTGCTTGTAAGACCGTGGCGTCTGTCTGCAGTTTTACGTCTTTGGCCGCTGTCGATGGGATTGATGTACTCCAGAGAGGGAAAAATGAATAGATCGGAGTTGGAAAGGGGTTTTGCTTTTTTCTGAAAGAGTAAAAATTTGGATCTTTGCAGAGATAAAATTCATGGGGACCTAATTGCAGTGCTGTTGTAAGGGTGGAAACTCAACCCTTCGAAGTCGAGTCAGTGCAAGAAGTATTCGGACAGCAACCGATTTAAAATAAAATTAGTAAGAAAAGTTGTGAATGTTGGTTAATTGTTTCTTCAATTAAGATTGACTAATAAAATAAGTATATGCAATTCTATTTTGTATTGGTTCCCGTACGAGTACTTATTACACTGACTGTAATTCTAGTTATGTATATCCCAGGTTAAAAAATGTTCCTCTGAACAAATATTGTAAACAGGTGTTTATCTCGAGAAGACATTGAACATTTGCAATTTGTGGGATCATTTTATTATTTTTCTCCCGTGCGACGCAGGCGCGACATCTCGTTATTAATATCTTGAGTTACTTTATCGCATAATAGAAAGACAGCGGAAATATTGACGCGACAGCAAATGATACGATTAATGGGACGTCCTGTACGCTTCCGTATCTTGAATGGTTCGAGGAATAATTGCGCGCGTGCACTTAAACCGAGCATATTGCGTGGTCCCTTTTATTCGCGTTCGCAAACATCGACCCCCGGCTTCCTGTTCCTCGATTAACGCCCCATTAATCGAAACATTTCCCCGAAATTACCGCGGAACGGAGTCCCTAGAGCAATCGATACGGCCACTCGGTCCTGGCCTCCAACCGCGCTACGTGTTCCACAAGATTTCAGATTCAGCTAGCTTGTGCGCGAGTGCGATCCACCCCTACATAGCAAATACCCGCCACGAGACAGCTAGGCATCAGGAATACCCAAAATTTTCATTCGAACGATGAATTCAGAACAGGCCAATAAAAGGGAAACCAGTTTTAATTTGCCACTTGCGAAACGAAAATTACAATCTGAAGTGCGCGATTAAATTACCTTTCGATGTTAAATAATTTCGATGGTAAATAATTTGGATCGAGGTCTCTTGTGTTGATCAGAGACATGTTGAATTGGGCGAAAGGGATGTCTTCTTTGGAAGTTAATTTCAAGCAGATGAATGCAAGTCCTGACTTTTCGTTTAGAACTATGTGTACATGTATTATTGGGTTGCCTGGAAAGTCCATGTCGATTTTTGGTACGTAGTACAGGTCTGAATATATCAGAATGGTCGAAAATAAATAGCGCCAAATAATAACGTTTGAAATAAATAACGATATATTTATATCAAAATTGTGCCTTTGAATTTTTCATAAAAATTGGCACGAACTTATTGGACAACCTAATGTATTGTTAGAGATGAATACACTGATCTAAATGAAAATGTGTCTTGTCTTCTAGATAGTGTAACATGTATTTTAAAGTTGATATTGTATATATTTTTACATTTATGGATTTATTATGCATATATTAGTTATGCATTTCATCCTTATACATTTTCCAATATTTTTTCTGTTACATACTTGCATGTACAGTCAGTCCCATAATTATTCGTACCTTCTATGTTCATTGAAAAAATTTGTCTAAATTATATGGTAGGTTTGATGTTTCCAGATGTATTTTTCATTATAAATATATACAGTCAGCTCTATAAACATTCGTATCCTCTGTGTCTATTCAAGACATCTGTTTAAATTAAACGGCAGGTTTGATGTTTCCAAGTGTGTGTTTATATATAAATATATACATTTATAACCTTATTCATATACGTATTTATAATGAAAAATTCATTTGGTAACATCGAAACTATTATTTAATTTAGTCAAACTTCTTCAATAGACATAGAAGGTACGAATATTTATGGGATGTTCATGTGCATATTTATAATGGAAAATTAATTTGGTAACATGAAGCCTATGCGTACGAATACTTACTGCACTGACTGTGTATGCACGTACGAAAAGTGTCACAACAAGCGTTTAATTAGAGAGCCATAGAAGAAAGACTCTGAAGAAAGACGTTCTACAGCGACGTAGACTTTAAAATAAAACTCTCGTGATTCCTTTACAAAACCCATTCATCCGAACCCACTATTGGCCCTTTCATCGAACGACAAACGTGCACCAGAGCTAAGATAGCTACTTCCTCATCCGGAGAGCAGTCGGATCGAGTGGAAATCGCTGTGGAACAATCGTGGAAAGTTTTCATTCGTCGGGCATTATTCGAATAAAGCGTTGCTCGTCCCTGGGCGTCACGGATGGTCGCGTGTAATTCACAACAGTCTACGGAGCAGAGCTTAAGTGTGTTCCCTCTCGTGGGCAACGTTCCTCCGTGTATTAGCACGGCGGGCCGGTGACACGGGCCAGGGGCACGAAGAGAGAAGGGTATAACCGGAAATGAGTTCTCGCGTGTCCACGCTTGGCTCTTGGAACTGCTATTCAGTCCCTCTTTCCTTCACGATTCTCCGCTTCACCCCCTGAGAGAGGATTTAGTCCCGCAGTTCGCCGTCTCTGGTTCGCCTCTACCCCCGGCTCCCTCGTCCTCGTCCCCCTGTTTCCTCTCCCCGTGCCCTTCTTCGGGGCCGCAGGAAGGCATTAATCAAAGGAGCAGCGGTGCGCCCTGTTACCGGCACGACGAAAGATGGAAATACCCGCGCACACGCTCGAGATATCACGGAAGCGGGGTTAGGTTACGTTAGCTCCGCGATGTCTAACCGCTGTAACCACCTCCGTGACACACGTGTCTTTCACGCGGCCTCGCCTCGAGAATAAAATTCCCGATCCGTTTTACAGTTTGACGCGTCCGTAATAATGCTTCCCCCGTGCCACGGGGACGAGGAAGGGGTGGAACGAGCACGCCGGGGATAAAGAGAAACTCGAATACGTACACGCCTGGTCTCGCGAGAGCGCGATTTCCTCGGCGAACCGTGGAATCTCTTGAATTTCGTTCGCCGCCGCGAGGCGAGGCGGAACCGAGTCAAGGGGTCTTCGCACATTAAAGGGTTTTAAAGGGTGGAATTATTATTTTTTTAAGGTCTCTTTTGTCGTACCAAAGTAGCGATGTTTAATCCTTTTCTTCTTTTATCAGTCGAAGGTTGGAATAGTTGCACGAGTGGGCATCGATTTCTAAACACCGTGTATTTGTAACTTTTTCAAAGAACCATAAACGTGAGGAATGGCTGCGGTTTAATTCGGTATTTAATGGGCGTTGGATGAGTTGAATTATTATTGCGAGGGATGTCTTTATTCGTATCGTGTAGCGTATAGGCTCATAAATATTCCTACTCTAAATCGAAGAAATTTGTCGAAATCGAATGATAGTTTGCGTTGTTGCGCAGTAATCCCTTGATGCATTGACGAAGTTCTGTCCCGATGTAAGGGCATGAATCTGCTTTGGCTTGTCGCTGAGGAAACAGGAACAAAAACTTAATTTTGAAGAATAGAATCACTCAGAGTAAAACCGCTCCTTCGATATAATCACACCAATCTACTTTCTATTATCCATAAATGTTCACGTAGAAGGTCATCTTCCATCTAAAAAAAATCAATGAACCTGAAATTTGAATACTTAGTAATCCCGAGAAAAATGTTGTTTGTCATAATACTTATTATTCTAATAGTACTAATCCGAATACGCACTGTTTCTAATATAAACGAAACATTTATTACAAACGAGACCCAATTATCGAGGATCGAAATATTTGTACATAAAATAAATTTGTTCAGGCTGTATTTGCTATAAGATTTGCTTTGAATGTGACAAGCAATATACACTTACACGTATACTTTCGCTTATATTTGTTCGTAAGCTAGAATTTTTTCTGCGCTGGTGTCCCTACAGACTCTGATAACAAACCAATATTCACGAAATTTTTGCACAAATATAAAGTAAATGTATCCTTATCGCCGGGACTACAACAAGCATGATGTCCGCGATCACTTTGTTATGTTTTCACTCTCGTTACAAGATTTCGTTTGCTTTTTATTTGAAAAGTCGTTTGAATCGTTTCATCTTTGAACCGTTTAATATCTTTGTTTATCGTTGTAGTCTCAGGCATAGCTATACTCGTACTGAACACGACGCAATGTCATTTTTTTGTTTCAGATGAATAGAATTTAAAAAATCAGGGACACCAGGAGCGTTTTTTTTCACCGAAGCCCTTCGGTTCATATATTTCTCGAATAAATTAATATTTCTGTATGAAGAAAGGAAAAGAAATATATGTTTTCTGGAAATGTGTATAAATAAATGTGTAAAGTTTGAAGAATCTTTTGTCAACGGTGAGAAAAAAAAAAGAGTTCACGAAGAAACGCACCTCTTAGCGCGCTAAAAAAACGCCTTAAGGGAGTCTTCTGGTTATTTAATCTCTATCTCCTCTACCTCTCCAAAGACGAATGCAACGTCCTTAGATTTGCATATTTAAACCTGCGCACTGTAGAGCACGTAGTAAGTTTTTCGTTTCTCCATTTTGCTTGACGAGTTTGATTAGTATGTCGAGGGAAAAGTACACGGGCGAGAGTTGCCAAGGAAAAGAAAATCTTAGCCATCGTTGTTTCGATTTTTTAGACACTTGACCCTAGAATGGAAAGATCGAGTAAATTTTACTCCTTTTGTTATTTCTTGACACTTTAGTAAAGACTTATATTTAAAATTATTGTTATTTATTTGTTGTTATGCCATTATGGTATTTATTGTTATGTTGGTAACAGAGATTTAGGACTTGATACGATAAAAGAAATATATATATATATACATGTCGAATCGAGTAATCTCCTCCTTTTTTGAAGTCGGTTAAAACTGAAAATTTCATTAAACTTTAACAGCTGCAAAAGTATTCGTACTCCTGCACTGAATATCAAACGTAATGTAAAATATGTATTTTACTAATTGATATCTTGCAACACTTTTAGATTCGATAACACGTTTGTTTGGTTGTCAAAAATAAGTTTTGGAATCCTTTTCATGTCGCTCCATCCCTTGCAAAATTGTTTAGCATTTCGCACATGACATTTTACTCTGCAAATATTTCAACATGAACTTCACTTTGAATACTTCGTTTACATTATCGGATACCGTGTGCATTTTGTAGTTTCTTGGGCACTCGAATTTCCTATAAAAGCATACAAATCCGTGGTTTAATTATTATTAGACAAAAAGTGGCTCTAACGCGATCGTTTCCAGAGAATATCAATTGGTTCGGTCGAGAACTATGGTCGAATCGGTTCAGGGGTGCGTAGTTTGATCGAAAAGTGGTGTGCTGCGCGTTGGAGGGAGTCGGAGCCACGAGTTTCGTGACTTTCGGTCGCGTGCTAGTGACCACCCGGTGATCTCATTGACGAGCGCGGTGGCCCCGCTCAAAATGCCTGTGGTTGAAACCGGGGGATGGGCGAGTTAAGGTCGGTGGTCCGATACACGACCATCATTATCCTACCAGTTTATTGAGGCTTCCACGTCAAAGGGGGGCGGTGGGAGGGGTTTTTAAGGGCGCGTTTTCGCCGATCGATTTTATGCTCGTCGCGGTTACGCGAAGAAATAGCGCCGTTCTTTCTTAACACGTTCTTAACCGCCTGTTTGATGCGGAGACTAACGCCTGCCCTTCCCCATTGTGCATGTAAGTTCCAATTAAAACGCATGGAGTAAATTGAATAGTTATGTTATTTTATTCGCACTTTGTTTGCTTTAAGTATCTTAGTATCGTAGAGTTATCAATTGTTGCGCGTTATGTTTTAAACTGCGCTGTTGCGTAAGGGTTGGTTGACGGGGTGACATAAGGGTTTTGAGTCATTCATAGAAAGAATAATTAATTTTATTCGTAAAATGTATTGTTATTGCTATTATAGTTGAAGAATACGGGATTTGCAATGCAAACGTTTTAATAACTGCGAAAGAATGCTATAACGAGTCAACCAAACTTCATCATAGGAATGTATAATTTTAAAATACGAGTTTATACTGACGATACGAATGAGATAAATTAGAAATTATGCTCAGAATGGTTTTCTAAAATCATTGTATAAGAGGTATATTAAAGTGAGCATCGTAAAAAGAGAAAAATAGGTATAATTGAAATAATGCAACATTAAACACGAAAAATGAGTAACAAAATTATTTCGAATGGATGTTGCATTCAGAAAATCGAGAAAATACGCACTTCAACGTGTTTGTTTGACTTTGATTCGAAAAATATTGAAATTTTAAATCAATCCCATCCCTCATTATAAATTTAACGATATATTATTTATGAAATTGTACAGCTATCCAGAATATCATTAACGAAGAATACAGTATTTAATATTGATGTCCAATTATATTATTCGTATTTATTAAAATCTGTATACCGTTTCCAATCGATTTCTTTGAAACTTCATTAACGAACAATTGACGTTTCAATGCTCGCACGCGAAACGAAGTATTTTTTCTCCGGCGAAACGTTACACAGTAATAACTGATATTAATTCCACGGCAACACTGGGGAATTATTTTAATTTTAATACTGGAAAACGTACAGTGTTACAGCATTTCTTTCAATAATGTTTTAATAATATTTTCCGCATTTTTATCGGCACTATTAAATCCGCCAGTTTGAATTTCTATATTCTAATATCAGATTTAGAATCTGCGTCCACAGACACCCCAGTATACCAAGTTTCATTCAAATCGAAGCACTTTTCCGATTTTGGTCCATCGTATTGGATCTGCCATTTTGAATTTATAAATTGTGAGTTTAGATTTGGAATCAGCGACTACAGACACCTCTGTATATCAAGTTTCATCAAAATCGAATCACTTTTCGCATTTTGTGCCGCCATATTGGATCCGCCATTTTGAATTTGTAAATTTTGAGTTCAGATTTGAAATCAGCGACCCCAAAAACCTCTGTATACCAAGTTTCATGAAAATCGCCCGAAAGGAACTCGTGAAATATTCAAGAGAAATTGGCTAAGGTGTTTGTTGTCAAGTTCTTTCGGGAAACCACTAGGCTTATTCCAGAAATACTACTGTGTTTACGATTTTTACTACTCTACTACACTTCCGGGTATCATGTAGGTCACTGGGTCAATCATTCATTCAAAAGTATCTATAAAATAGGAAACTTTGAACCGGTGTAACTCGGCGTAGAATCATCGGATTCGATTCTAACAAGATTCAAATTGAAGGACTGAATTTCTACTATCTATTAAATAGTTATTACCATTGTTAAATACTCTTAAACAATCGTTTTTTCTTAAATACATCTATCTTCGTTAACAATTTTTCCCGCTACACGATTAAAATTGTTGTGCTATTCGAACGAAAACCTTCAAAGAAGCATACGCTCTTGAAAATTTATCGCTCGCCTAAGTGAATCCTCCGTAATCGCTAACGAAAGCATGTTAGATTTACGATATCCCCTCAAAGGAGACGTCCAAAGTCCAAAGACTTAATCCATCGGAAACATCGTCTACCACCAACTCTGCGGAAAACATAGTAACATCCTGTATCATTGGTTCGCTTAACGAACGCAAGTTCGTGGAGGATTGAGCTCTGTTCACGGTTCGCGAGACGGTTAACGAGCCCGGTAAAAAGCCGATCTAAGGACGGCCAATACACTTTGCGGGTCCCGGAGCTGGACTTCGGGGACTCCCGTAGACGCGTAGATTCGTTTGGTCGGGAATCCAGCCGGCACGACGACGCTGGGACGAACGGTGCCGCTGGTGGTAGTAGTAAGAGGAGGTGGAGGCGGCAAGAGGAGCCTGACGGGGGCAGGGGGAGCATGGGGGTGGTTGAATTTTTCATCTGACCACGTCGAACCAATTAAAGCGGACCGCGGCACCCACCTCCATCCCCGGCCTCTTCCACTTTTTTCGTTCTCTCTTTATTTCCGCCCCGCGTGCTGGCCTTTATCCATTCCATCTCGCTCCCCTTTCGCCCTCCTCGCTTTTCCCATCTCTGCCAACGGTCGAGCCTCCTCTTCTTCCCGTCCACAGGTAACCCTCCCTCTCGTACACCTCCTCCTCCTCCTCCTCCTCATCCACCTCCACCTCCTCCCCCCATCGTTGTACCCCGTTTCTCATCCTCCCGTCCACGGGCATCCGCATACTGGTCCTCTCTCGCTCCCGGTTTCTCGTTTCTTCTTCGTCCTGGCGCGTTTCGCCGTCTTCGTCGTTCGGCGCTGGCTCGTTCGCTCTAGCGACTGGTTGGATTTTTTCGCGTCACGAGGCGGTGTAATTTATTTGGCCGAGCTAGGTACCCTACCCGCGGAGGTGGCCGAGGAAGGGCGATGGTCTGGGTACAGCGCCGATGGGATGGGTGGCAGCCACGGGGGCTGGAGGAATAGCTGGAGGTGGCAGAGGTGAGGCGGCAACCGGAGGTGGAGGTGACGCGGCTAGAACGAGAGCCCAAGGGATGGGCACCAGGATAGAGGACGGAGGGTGGGGTGGTTTCAGTTTATTTTGTGGGTCCTACCCTACCCGCTCGTCACTGTCCAACCCCCGTTGGTCGCTCGACCGCCGCCGCCTGCCGTTCTCTCTCCTCCTCGCGCGCGTTTCGACGCGCTCGCCGCTTCTCCGTCTTTTGCTTTCGCTCGTTTTTCTGCCGATTCTCGTTGCATGACTTTCTTGTTTCTTCTCGGCCACTTCTGGTCACTCCCTTTCTACGTCCTACCCTCGTCCGTACACGTATTCGCGCAACGCGTCACGCGTCGCGCGTCTCGTTCCCTCGCCACGCCGACACCGGGCCTGATGCGATATTAAAGAACTCGGGATTACCTGACGGATCTGCTCCGGTGCCTTTTTTTCGATTACTTGTTGACAAGAGCGGTTCCTCGTCGACTCTCAGTCGCTGGAACAAGCGTAATGATCTGTTGGGCTCGCGCGTGGGAAACTTTGTTCTTACTCGGGTTACACGTTCTCCATTTGGATCAGATTCTTTCGTGGTATTCAAAAATTTGTCGAGATGCACGAAGGCTTCACTCGTGTTTCTAATCGTCAAAGTCTTGAGACTTGACGTCAACGTTTTTATCAATTTCTTCTTCTTCGCTTTCATTGTGCATTTTTGATCGTTACTCAATCGTTGCTCAATTAAGTATTCAGAGATCACGGATTTAAACTATTCCCTTTTTTTTTTGTGATGCAATAACGAGGAAAATTCGAAAGAAAGACCCTTCAATTGTTCGTTATTTCATCATCGTCGTTTTCACTTACAAAATTATTCTTGTAATTTCACTTAATATGATTTTGAGGACCAATTTCACAACCATTTCAAATGATCACAAAACAAATAAAATGTTATTTGACGTAATACTTCACATGTCATTTCAAAATCGAAACGATGTTTCAAATAATATAGTTTCCTAAGTGCCCAGATCTGCCTTAGCCCAAGAAATTTCATTCAACGTCCTCTAATTCAACAATTATCCTCGACACGCGTTATAAATATATTCATACGAGCGCAAATGAGACAAGGTTCATCCAAACCACCGTTTCCACACCCAGCCCCGGTCACGATCCTCCAAACCGTCTCGCAGAAAATGATCCATCATCGAGGCGGCCGACTAACAGCTCGGAAAATAAATAACGGCCACGAGATCAGCGTGGAATTAGCAGCGGCAA